TATTTTCTACATTAACCTCTCTTCCTAACAAAAGAGAAGATAGTAGCAGAGAGCAGGCTCAAGATAGGACAGCAGAAGTACTTGCTAAGACAAGACAGCAAGCTCTGGGCTGGACACTGTCTAGCAGTCCAGCCATAAGGAAGAGTGAGCATAGCGCGTGCTTTCCTTTGCTGGATGTCTCCTGTAGTATTTTAACAGCAACGGTGACAAGGAAACTTTCCTACTGTATTATATTAAGTCTAGCCACTGGGGCAGTGTGCTAAACAGAGTGCCAAACTTGGGCCCAAATTAGGCAGCAAGAAAAGGGAGAACAATGGCTAAACTCTGCCGGGTCTGCATGCATAAAACTGGCTTCTGCCACACTTCTCGTGTGGGTGTATGTAGTTATTACAAAAAAAAAAAAAAAAAGGCTAATTGTTCATAACTAAGGAGGAGGACTTCTAAACACACTAGATTTACTGCTTGCCAAAAAGCTTTTTTTCAGGGCATACTCAGAAGAACCAAGATTTGATGCTACACAAGGTCATTTCAGCAGGCTTCAAGATTAGTTTTAGATTTCATTAAACAAACCCACAGCTACAGGTCACAGACACTGATCAGCATCCTGTGGTTGGACAGAAGACAACTAATCCAAGCAGTGAATCAAAGTCTTGCCTTTAGGAGAAGGGTGATGACACTGCCGGCAGTCGGTCCACTTACTCTGAAGTGTTGTCCTGGTGCTAGTGATGATTTATACGAACACTATCTTACATTTAAGCTCTTGTTAACCCAAGTTTGCAAAATAATTAGCCAAGGTATGCAGTCTCTGGCCATGTTTTTCTATATGCAGTACTATTTGCTCCATAACAGAAATAAACTCATGACCTCTTTGGTATGGTACGCTAATACTAACCAGTGTTTCCTTAACTTCCGCCATGCCTATTCCACCTGCACAAGTATTGCCATACTGGCATAGCCCCTGTATTCTTTATTATTTGCCTCATCCTTTTACACTGACTTTTTAAAGTTGAGTCAGATTTATTCTTAAGGAAAGTAGATTGTTTTAAATTACTAACATAAACATGAAACTATTATCACCACCGCAGACGGAAGATAAATGTAAAATAAATACAATATAGTGTTACCCAATTTTATAGAAGGCAATTCAAAAGGAATAAAACTGGTGGGGGGGTAACTTTCTCACCATGATTCCATATTAAAAACTGCTGTTTTGCAGAACCACTTAAAATCATCTCTAGCAGTGCCAGTGTTTACGTGTATGCCTTACACTTTTGGGAAAACTGAACTAAATGGATAATGATATAGTACTGTGATGTAAGTCAAATTACAGCATAGACTATAAAATTCAAATTACTAACCCTTGGGGCAGGATTTATGATGCATTAAGGAAGTCTGCTCTATATTCTTGGATAGCAAGATCCTACTATGGGGTAATACCTCTTCTAACAATCAGAGGCTGTTTTCCTTGAATAGGTAAGAATCAGTGAGCAGAGAACACAGACATAAGGCCCGAGCATCGAAGTAAATGCATTTCACTACAGAAAACTGTTTCAGACTTTAATTCTAAGCACGAATGCTTTAGGTAGACAAAACTTTAACAGCATATTCACATATCAATGTTATATACCCCAATTGTGCTTTAATCTACATTCAAGGAAAACTAGTTCTTTTTCCCTGCATGTATTTTAGCCATTTGCCTGTTAAATAAGAAATCCACCAAGTTAGTACATGAGAAGTGTCTCACTTCCCTCAACCCTCACTGGGTTTGTACAGGAAGCAGGGCCTTGTCCCAACTCCTGCACAAAGCAAGGCCCGGCAGCATCGGAAGGTGCCTGCCCCAAGGTGACCAGGAGCTGATGGCAGGGCCAGGGTTCCAGCCCAAGGCCTCTCTGCCAAGCACATCTGGTCATTCTGGGGATGAAACCATATGCACTGCACACATCCCAAGCCTCTCCATTCATACCTCAGAAAAAATCCTCACAGACTAGATAATACATAAGCACTGCCCTCTTTCTCCCTAAACTCACTCCTCTCTGCTCTCTTAACATAGTGAACAAGTCCCTTGACTGTGTTCCTGAAATATCAGAAAACAAAGCCACAAAAGCCAGTGCTTTGAGGTCTTGGCAGTTCTTCTTGGCCCAGGAAGTGAGCCTGTAAAAACTTCTCTCCTCCTGCTCATTTATAGACTTTTTTGGAGAGAAATACAAAACTGGTCTTCTCTCCTTCACTTGAACAAGAAAACATTAGGAAAAATCTAATTTTGCTTCTGGAATCAAAGCAAACTTGAGCTTAGATCAGCTCTAGCATCTTACCCCTTAACCAGGAATATCCTGAAGTTTTCCCACCTTCCACATGGGAAGGTGCAGGGCTGCCAGAGGCAGAGCGAACTTGGGCTTGTAACCACAAGAAGTTGTTGAAGGAAAGTTAGTAGTGGGCTTGCAGTGGTGATGTCTAAGATCTTGCTACTCAATGTGGTCGGTGGACCAGCAGGGCTGGTATCTCCTGGGAGCTTCTTAGCAATGCAGCATCTCAAGACCCACTCTAGACCTAATGCATCAGAATCTGCTTTTTGGATAATAAGAAATTGAGGTAGCCAGTGAAGGTCCTACCGTGACGGTGGCCAGCCACGGCTATGGCCCTGCTACAACCAGGGGCTGGGCAGGGACTCAAAGGTACCATCTCTGATCAGGGAGTGGGCAGCCTCTATGGGGCACCAGAAGTCCAGAGACCCATACAGCTTCAGACACCAGTCCCAAATCCTTACAAATGCTGGCATCGGGACAAAGTAGGGTTCTCAGGCTGCCGGCTTTGTGACTTTTATTTACCTACTCAGTTGCCTAGGAAATTCATATTAATGTAATTTTATCTGCCAAAAGGAAAAAAAAAAAAGGAAATGAGAGAGGAAACTGTGAGATTTGCCTGACCTGAAAATGGCCCAAGACCACTATTCCTTTTGGTTATAGTAAATGGTGATCTTGTTCTGCTGTCATCTGTGTGGTTTTTTTTGGAACCTAAAAAAAAAAAGCCCTGAACCAGCCATCTTCCATGTTGTCTTCCCCTCTACTCCCCCCACCCACTTCCCTTCACACTACTGAGCCAGAGCCAGGCTCTACCAAAAGGGGAAGGGAACAGCTATCTCCCCCTCAGCATTTCTAAAAGAGGCTGAGAAGAAGGGGAAAGATCCGTAGGATCCTTCACAAAACTCCAACACTTGCAGAAGGAAAGGCTGAAATGAGGAAGAAAAAAAAAAAGAGCAGAGTAGGTATCCCAAGGAGAGGAAACATTTCTGTTCTCTGACACTGACTTCATTGAAAGCTTAGCTTCTCTTATAGACAGGCTGGAAGGTAAAAATGGACACACGGAAAGAGGCATGTACCCCTTTTTTCTAGCTGTGAATGTATGAAAAGAAAGAGCTGTGTGAGAACTGGTACAACTGGTGACTTCCCACAGAGCATCTCATTAGAGTTAACAATGGGATTGGGAACTTTAGGTTTTCCCTCCTCCCAAATAGTTAAAGCCAGTACTTCTCTTCTTTCTCAGGTATTGCTGGACCCCTGCTTATTTTCCCTTTCTAATGGAAATTTCAAAATTGTTATTTTATTTCTTCAGACTTTGTCATTTCAGTGAGCATTTTACAAAGTCACTGCTTCCTTGCAGAGTTAATAGCCATTCTTTGCAACTGAGATCACTGCTAAGACAAGAGAGTTGTTTCAATCATGTATACCTTAGATAAGTACTATCCAGAATAGTCTTAGAGGCAATTCTGGCCAGGCCAGGCCTCAAATGCCTGCCCTGCCGCACACTCCAATGTAAAGGAAGCTGTTCATCAACAACTTCTGTGCCGAGGGTCAGAGCCATGCTTTGCACTGCTTGCCACCCCCCTCCCAGGGCATCCAATCTTTAGGGTGGCCTATGTCTTATGGTTGGCATAAAAAGATAAGCTGGGTCAACTATTCCTCAGTTAGAAATTATATGCTATACCAGGGGCAGAAGACAAAAAGTGCATGGAAAGAGGCCACAAAAAGTTGAGTATGGAGAGGACCTTACAAGCCAGTTCCCAGAGAGCAGGTCAAGGAGGAGAGAAGAACACAGCACCCACAAACAGAAGCAGACACCTTTATCAGGTGACAAAGGCCATGAACCCCCCAAGATGGTATCAAATTTGAGCTTGGTGCAAATACTTTTGTAATGTTAGTTCCATCCCGGCCCCCACCTTTATAATGAAATCCACTTTACCTATGCCGATCTGGATTCCCTGGAACTAAATAAGCCACTCTAAAACAAGCCAAAGGGGAAAAAAAAAGTTTTTTCCCTTTTTCCAGTATCTTCAAGAAATAATTTTCATGAAAAATAAAAGTAGTCACTATGTCAAAAACATATGGCTTGGCCAAAAGACAGTTTCTAATTTATGGGATCTAATAAATGACAGCAATTTGAAAGCTGTCAAAAATTAGGGCGTTGTGGGGGGAAAATCAATTTTTTTCCCCATGTTTTCAATTAAGTACCGATTATCATTGCTACATTGTAACAATGATCCGCAGAAGAATATATGGGCCATGGGCCCTAGGGTTTCTGTCCAAGAGATCAGATCAAAATATAATAAACCTAAGGTTCATTGAGAAGAAACTTAAAGATTTTTGTAGGAAACCCACACACAGGACAGATAACCAGGCTACCAGCCCTCAGTGTCATGTTCAGCAAAATGAGGGACTAGGTTATACAATTTCCCAGTAAGCTCTCTAGCTCTACAAATCAGACTGAGCCTACTTTGAGAAAGTTGCCTTCTCGAAATTCTGTTATGAAATGTTTTTGGTAAATATCTATAAATTGACTGAACTATTTTTAAAAATGGCATTAATTTCACCCCTAAATTTACATATAGCTTTCCTATAACTATCAGGAAAAGCAGCTCCAATAACATTTATCCAGCTATATTTACTAAAAACAACCCAGGCATCAGAAGAGACAAATGGGCAACCCAAGGGAAATCTTTTTCTTACCATTTCGAGACACATCAAGTTCCACCAGCTGCATGAAGTTTGCTATTTCTGGAGGGAGTCGCTGAATTTCATTATCACTAAGTCCAAGCTTTCGTAATTTGACTAGCTGGAAAAATTGCTGAAAGACAAAATAGTTTCACAAAGATTTCACATATATTTGCATCCTAAATTCTGCAGTTAATAAGAAATTTAAAACAATATGTCTTTTAAAAACTAATGAAGAATGTACCAATGTCAATCTCCTGATTTTGAAAGTACACTGTAGTCATGTGAAGGTGTTTTATCATTGGGATAAACAAAGGACGTCTCCATACTATTTTTGCAACTTCTTATCATTCTAAAATTATTTCAAAATAAAAAGTTCTTAAAAACTAATGAACAACTTAATGAGAATAGTAGTCACTCCTTTAAACTGCCCAGTAGATGGTCACATCCTCTACTTATGGAAATTGATGTTAAATCTACAATGTTAAATAAATATATGTGAAAATTAAAATATTGTAAAAGACATTTTTAAAGGAATTATGGTACATAAGAAACTATAATAAATAATCTAAAAATGTGTGCAAGTGAAAAAAATATTTTTGATTGGTCAAAAAATTTTTTTTCACTTGTACACATTTGAAAGTCTGCACTGGCAACTTCCATCAACCATGGCAAACTGAGCCCATGGCTTTTTTCTCCACACCCTTTAAGAAATGTACTAAAATGATACTAAAGGGAATTTTTATAGAGATGGACATAAATATAAAAATATGGAATGAACCCATGAAGACAGTTAAAAATGAGAGAGGACAAGAAGCAAACTAGATATGCAACAAAATCCTTGAAGCTAAAAAGCAGATGGACAAATGTTAACTAATAGAAAAATCAAAATAAAACTGAAATTTAGCCTTTGGAGTGAGTGGACCAATAAGAAATTAGGTCCAGGTACTTTTGTCTCCTTACTTTTCTTGGCACCTGGCCAATATCAGGATCTGAATCCTTGACCTTGGTGTCACAAGGCAGTGCTCAAACCAACTGAGCTAACTGGCCAGCCCTGGCCCAGGCGCTTTTGAAAGAAAAACAAGTGGCTGAAAATTTATATAAAGAACAGCTAAGTCGCCATCGTCTCTTCTCTACCCTGCATATCCAGGCAAGAGACTGAAGTTTCCTCTCTAGAAGAGCTGACTCCAAATATAGTTTGGCATAGCTAAGGGCAGGGGTAAAGTAACCCTACTAAGAACAGGAGGAACAAGTCAAAGCTTGATCAGTGAGATCCCACCCTCCCTCTCCTCCATGGCCAGGCCCTCCAGGCATGAAAATAGACATACAGACCTCAATTGTCCTATAAAGAAGCTCCAGGTTACAAACCCCAAATATGCACACAGAGTTTCCAAACATGCCCACCTCACCCCCTAAGCCCAGTGCCTGGATTTTTAATTTAAACAAAAATAAGGTTCTCTAGAGACTTGAGGAAAGCCCATACGCATACAAGAAAGAGAGTGTACACACATACATCTCTCAGAAAACTTCATCATCAAAGAACTAATATCCTCAAGAGAAATCAGAGAAGCAGCAGCATGATGCCACGAAAAGCAAGATTTGAAGAATTAGAAATAAGCTCTTAGAAATTAAAAAATATTGTAGCAACAATAAAATAACCCAATAAAAGAGGTGAAAAATAAAGTTAATAAAATCCCACAGAAGGTAGAATAAAAGGACTATGAGATAGGGAAATGAAAAAAAAAGAGACAGGAAACGAAAAGACCAGTTCACAAGGTACCACAACCCACTAATATGTAGTTCAAAGACAGAAAGCACAGGGGGCTGCAGAACATGCTTTTCCAGTTCAAAAGGGACCACCACATGGCCAGTAAAATGAACAAAAAAGACACATACCAAGCAATACTACAAAATATCAACTCCAGAAATAAAACATTCTAAAAACTTCCAGAGACAGGAAGAAATAAAGAAAAAAGGTCATAACAAAGAACTGGACCACAGAATGGCATTGGACTCAACAGCAACCTTGAAAGTAAAAGGCAATGAAGCAAGACCTTCCAAATTCCAAGCACTCGTTACTCCCAACCTAAAATTACATACCCAGCCAAACTACCAATCAAGTATGATGACAGAATAAAGACATTTTCAGACATGGACGGTATGAAAAAATTTATCTTCCTTGCACTCTTCTCAGGAATCCATCAAAATGTGGAAGTAAATTTAAAAGAAAGGATCTGAGATGCAGGAAACAATCAACGAAACAGAGAAAGACAAAGAAAATTCCCAGGATGAAATCATGAAGGGAATTCCAAGATGTCAACTGAGCCACAGGCCATGAGAGCAACCTGCTCAAACCGAAGCAAAACATGAAGGAAAGTTTTGAAATCAATCAATAAAAAAAAACCATCTGAGGATTGTCTGATGTGTTTGGAAGTATCTAGAGGAGATTTACAACTCTGTCAAAATGTTTGGAGATGAATTAGAAACTGAAAAAGAGAAAAATAAAGCAAGCAAAAAAGGGAGGAACTTATTAATTCCAGGAAAAATATAAAATATAAGAAGATATAATCATAATATAAATATAAGATTTGATTATGTACACTTACAGTCATAATATTATAATATCTATATTGGTAAAACCAAAATGTATTTTATGTCTATATTGAGAGGATGGGAAAGAAACTGTTAGTGCTAAAGCCTCATCCTCCAAAAAAGAAAATAGATAACTTTAAAGTTAAAAAAAAAATCAAGCTGCAAAAGCAAGCCATTTAGCAATATGGAGGCAAATACTGGTAGAAACAGCCAAGAGCTGAGGGTTCTCAAAAGTTATAATCTGGAGTAGGGAAGGAGAAGGCAGGAGGAGACTGTTGCTCTTCATTGTCACAGTATATAGCTTATTGGATTTTTTAAAGTTACTTGCATATATTACTTTGCTAAAAATAGAAATTGAGTTTACAAAGGAAAACATCTCTACTAAGATTACAGGATACTCCAAATGTTAATTTTGTAGAAAGCTAACATTTAATAGGCTCCTTTTTTCGTTTTGTTTTGTTTTGTCTTGTTTTTGCATTTTTTTTTTTTTTTTTTGGTTAAAGTGATTATATATTTTTAATCATAAGAGAAGGCACTGCCTTTTGTAAAGAATTGGGAAACAATTAAAAGTTTTCGAATTCACTGACATCCTTCTGGGCATCTATCCTTGGAATGTAACTGAAAATAAGAAAAGTAAACTATAATGCATAAACATATCTCTGCATTATTATCAATAAGAACAAAAAACTAGAAAACATACATTTCAAATAAGAGAATGATTAGCATGTTATTAAATAATTCGGTATTATGGAAATAATAAAAATGATTACTATAAAGACCACAGAACTTGAAAAAGATTTACAGTGAAAATATAATTTAAAAAGAAAACAAAATTGCAGGTATACTATGTAAAAAAAAAAAAGCATGTGTACAGGTGGACTGAAAGGAAGGGAATATGGAGGGGGAAAAACGTTATGTTAGGTGACAAAGATAATGCATGAACCACTTTTAAAAAAAAATTTAATGAAAAAGACAGATATTTTAAAGTAAAATGAACTAGGAATCTCAGCAAATGAATGCTACCAATTATTAGCTATATATGATAATGAAGTGATCAACAAAAGAACTAATCCTTTGGGTTTCTTTAATCATACAGTTGAGATTTAATATCTTAAGGAAAGGTATTGAAATTTCCTCATGCTACTTGTACTAAAGCATTAGCTAACACAAAAGCCATTCAAAAGAGTCACATATTTGAATAATTGAGCTTATGCCAATTATTCAGAGTCTGACAGTTTCATAATACATCAATGTGTTTACTCAAGCATGAAAAGCTCACTTTGTTTTCCGGGAAACGCATAATAGCAAAAGTACAAAAACCATCACCAATTCCATACATTCAGGGGCCATTCAGAATAATACAAGAAACCAAGTCAATAAGGTACTTAGATCTACAGTGAATAATAAATTAGCTTTATGTCTGTGGAAATAATAGCCTGCAAATCTCCACAACCAACAGAAGTCATAACAGCAAGCAAATTTAAAGTTCTTTTCCACATGTTAAAAGAACCTCATCTAGAGCCTGTCACAAATACTACTTTATTCAACTTGGGAAGAACATGTCACATGTTACAACAACCCTATCTGACATGATACCAAAATGAAACCAGTAATTCCTCAATCCTTCTTTCATTATCCTGATGTGATCTTAGGATGGTGTCCAAATACTTTAACTGCTTTCTTATAAGATGGACACAATGCCACCAAAACGATATTAAATCCTTAAATCTTCAACTTCCTCAGTTAGTTGGGAAAAAGAACTCAGTAAGATAAACCCTCCCGCCTTGCTGTTGAGATCAGCCAGAGCACATGAAGAACAATCCTGTAGCTGTCTTGGCAGGGTGCCTCAGCACAGAGCAATCATGTGATGGAACACACAGACACCATTCTTCAGCTCTATCATGTTTGATTATAGCTCCCTGACCCACTTAGAGCACTTTCTGTACAATTACATGCAAAAGAAGCCCAAATTGCCTTGGGTTGTTATGCTACACCAGTCTTCTTACAGCCACCATAGTTTTTAGTTGATACACAGTCTTTAATTTGGCTATAAAAATGTTTCTTTTTCCCATTCTACATTTCTGACAAGATTTTTTTCCTTCTCTTTGGGTAGAGTGTTAGTACCTCCCTTCTGCTTCTTAGAAAAGGGACAAAAGAAATCTTAGTCATATGACCAAGGATCAGTCAATTGTCCCCTAGTTACCCAAACTTCTACTCCCTAATGTAGAGAAAACATAAACCATTGTTACAGATGCATGTGGGGGACAATAGAGTAAGGAATGTTACAAACTGAAAAACTGTGTGACTCCAAACTATAACGACACCAAATTTACTCACAGATTTCCCTTCTGGAGGCATTCTAACTCTTGACCCAAATCTTGATCCCTTTACATCCTACACAACTCTCATTATACCCCTACTACCTGGGTCCCCATCCACCTAGACTGCCTTTTTGGTCAACCCACAAAAATATGGTAAACCAATTATTCTAATCTTAAGAGTAACACTTAATACAGTGTGGATAATTTGTATCATCTGGTA